ATTCTGTTTTAGCGCCACTCAGTGGACATTTCTCTTTGAAACTGCGGTGAAACGTGCAGTAAGGTACGTAAAAACGGTGTTGCAGAAAAGTACCCAGAGGTATGTATTTTCATGAGATTGGGTTGGTAAATTCTATCAGCCGAACTTTTCGCCAAGAAAACCGGTAAGTGTGGAGGATATATACTATGCTTTACCATTACCTATGCAGTAAATTGTAATGCATGTAAATTCATCAAACATGTTACAGTATTCTTACAGTATGATCTTTACTTTACTTTGTCAATACAGTATACTCTGTTCTATGCTTACAATTGACAGAAAACCCCATAGTGGTGGCCGTGGCCGTGTGCTGACACGCATTCACGAGAGAGTGGCATCCAGCGGATGACGTAGCACGTAGGCAAACGCAGTGACGAACACGGAAGTGACAAACGTGGAAGCGCAGAGGAGAGAGCAAAACAAAACAGCGGTCACGAATTAGTAGTACAAAACGAGGATTTGTAAAGAAAAATGTCGGAGGATTTCAATATAAGCCAAGAGGACACTGGTTTTCCTTTGCTGTAAACAAAACTTGTTTCCCACAAGACTAGCATATCCTCACCGGAGTTTACGCTATGCCTACATCATCTGCTGGACGGCACTCTCTCGTGAACGCGCGTACGACAGTTAGCGGAAGTTGGAGATTAAGGTTTATAAACTTGTAAATATGGATATTTTTCTTACACAAACGCATCGCTTCGCTTTGAGAGGCCTTTATTAACCCCCCGGAGCCGTGTGGACTTCTTTTATAATGGATTGGTTCAATTTTTTGGACTTCACATTTTGGGCTACCATCCACTCCCATTATAAAGCTGGGAAGAGTCAGGATGTTTTTTTAATATAACTCCGATTGTATTCGTCTGAAAGAAGAAAGTCATATACATCTAGGATGGCTTGAGGGTAAGTAAATCATGGGGTAATTTAAAATTTTGGGTGAACTAACCCTTTAAGACTAGATGTTCCACCATACAAAACTACTGCTAGAGAAAATACATATTTTTGTTAGGACGTTTTGACTCAAAAACTGCTAGTTATTAGGATACATACAGTGTGACAACTAGCCCCATTCTAATCTACTTTCAATTACAGTTACGTGTTACTGTATATGTGTGTGCACTATGATATAAAGTTTTACCATCTTTAGAAGTACTATTTGAACTGTCAGACCAACCTGAGGCAGTTTCAAGAGACCGTTTATTGGCCTAAACAATTCTCAGATATGAAATACTCCCAAACCAACAAAGGGAAAGAAGGCGACAGACACTCCCGCAAGCCACTCAAGCGTTCACTGCGCGGCGCCGCTGTCCATGGTACTAGGTCACACACGCGCTGCTTTTAGCTTTATTGCTGTTTAATATTCAGCGCATGCACACAGTCCCGGCTACAAGACAGTTGATACATCAGCAGTTTGACTCGTATGGACTATGCTTCTTACTACAGATGCCTCACAGAGGTAATAGCGTTGGTGGATGACAACGCTATTTTAGTTCATTATGGTGTGGAGCAGAAAAGTCCTTTTTCTCAAGGTGACTGGTGTGTCCAGTTTCTGTTGTTTCAGACATATTGGTCGGCTAAATTTAAGTAGTTTAGAAACCTACTACTTACTCCTAAACTCTTTAAATCAATGACAAATACAAAGACATCTGCTGTTACATATAGATTGTAACGTTAATTTAAAACACGAATTTACTGTAGTATAACAGTACACATTTTAAAATGTAAACGTATACACTGTCTCATTTTGTGCAATCTTTGCAGGTCCAGTAAAGTAGCATATATTAGAAAGCGTTACAAGCTTCTAGCTTTTTAACATTACCTCAAAATTGGTTTTGGTCCTATTTTACATTTTTTACAGATTCTTACAACTTTTCGCTTCATAAGGGTCATGTTCATGTATGATATTAATTTCATCCTTTGTAGCTCATTTCCAATTTGTTTAAATCGTTACAACTCACCCCGTGTTACAGCATTCCCATGTCTCCATATTTACAGTAGGCTACAACATTCATTAGATGAGCCAAAATACACTAACTATATATTGCAAATGTAAAGAAATAACCCAGGAAGAGAGCTGAGAGGAGCCTGACTTTTCCAAAAACAGTATACTTTAACAGGAAAATCTTGATAACAGTAACAAAGGCATCAGTTTGGGTTACTGAGAGAAAGCGTCCAGTCAGCAGAAACATCTTCCGTCACATTACCTCAGATTATTTCTATAGACGAGGCTATTATGAGAGCTGAATGCTTTAGTGGCTAATGCAACAAATCAAGTCCAACATCTCTAGTTTTCCACAGTTTAATTGATCGAATGAAGGTAAGTGAATGCAGGAAGCTTTATAAGCGCAAATAACCCGCTTACATTCATTCACTTCCCAAATCAAACGGATTAAAACACAATAAAATGTTCTTGAAATGCCTTTTGCTATCATTTAATTACAATTCAACTCTAAGTCACATCTCAATGTACGTTCGCGCAGACTCAAGTAGCTCCTGCCTCATTCATTTACACTGCAGCAAAATCCCGAGGTACCTCACGAACATTTTTTTGTGAAAAGTTGTAACATACCTCAAACAAGGGTCCGATCTTATTCTTCTCCAGGTATGACTGAATTCTTGACTGCTGTAGAGACGCCATGAGAATGTGTTGCGTTAAACAGCAAAAGGTTTGGATATCGTTAAATATCGCCAAGCATCTTCAGACGTGCGGGATTGCGGATGGATCTCTAGCGGGCAGAGAGCGGACATCCAGCGCTGAGAGCTCGGCTGCTGCTCCAGCACATGCTGAAAGTAACGGGCTTTGCAGCGTCCTCCCTCGGTTTGATCACTATCTTATCTGCTGGGACTATCCCTCCTCCGGTCTCGGCAGAGTAGCTGGCGACGGCTTCTTCTCAAAGCCAATCAAAAACATTACACCTTACATGCATGTTTATTCATTGGCTGTTCAGGTCTGAGAGGGCCGCCCTCGTTGTTTACATAGAGTAAGTGTCATTATTCAATTCATATGCACGTACTTTGTATGAAACTTGCATTATGAAGAATTCTTATGACTTCTTATAGTCTAATCTTGTATGCACGTAAATAAGCCACATTTATAATTTGCATTTATAATACATTATAATAATACATGCATACTGCATTTATTCTGATGCAGAAAAGCTAGTTCATGCATTCATGACCTCTAGACTGGACTATTGTAATGCACTGCTAGGTGGTTGTACTGCATCTTCAATAAACAAGCTACAGGTAGTCCAAAATGCAGCGGCTAGAGTCCTTACCAGGTCAAGAAAATATGATCATATTACCCTAATTTTACAGTCTCTGCACTGGCTACCTATTAAGTTCCGTATCAGTTACAAATTATTATTGCTTGCCTATAAGTCCCTTAATGGGTTAGCTCCTGTGTACCTAACTAGTCTTCTACCACGCTACAATCCATCACGCTCCCTAAGGTTGCAAAACTCTGGACTTTTGGTAGTACCTAGGATAACAAAGTCCACTAAAGGAGGTAGAGCTTTTTCGCATTTGGCTCCCAAACTCTGGAATAGCCTTCCTGATAGCGTTCGGGGTTCAGACACACTCTCTCTGTTTAAGTCTAGATTAAAGACACATCTCTTTGGCCAAGCATTCAAATAATGCATCTCATAATCTTGTACTGCAGTTATATCTGATAAAATGCACATTATTATTCTTTAACTTGGGCTAAACAAATAAATTTTGCTTGGTTGGAACAGCAACTATGCTAATTATGTCTATATTTGCTTCTCTGTTCCTGCCACTAGGATTTACACAAGCTTCAGTCTGGATCCAGAACACCTGAGAAGAGATGATGCCAACCCCTCAGAGGACCTCAGATGATGCCAACCCTGAAACAACATACAGAACTACCACATTTTGCTATAAGTTTGATTGCATCATATAATAATTGCTGTTAATAGTGTTCATCGTCTGTTTTATTACGTCTTTAATTGATTTTTCCGTACATTTCTGCCATATGTACATTAACTGACAGTCACCACTGATAAGCTACCACTAAATATTGTAGAAACTTAATTTGCTGTAAAGTTGCTTTGCAACGATTTGTATCGTGAAAAGCGCTGTACAAATAAACTTGAATTGAATTGAATAATGCTCACCTGTCCCAGTTTCAAAAGGGTAATGCATTAAAATACATAAGCAACGCATTTCATTCTGCATTAGGTCTATACTCTGCATTAGGTCTATACTCTTTTTTTTAAGATGTAACCATTAATAAGTGACCAATTATTTACGAAAATGATGATTGCTGTCAAGAATGGGTTAAGAAGCAAATAAATAAGTTGATTATTACGTACTGTATAAGGGCCATTCACACTGTGAAACGCAGGCCAGTAGAATGAAAAGAAAAAAAAAATATATATATATATATATATATATAATACATAATATAATTCAATGCTAAATCTTTTGGGATTGGAAAGTCTATAATAATAATAATTTATATTTAAAAATATAATAGTTTAATTTTTTCCAATTTACACATAGGCACCATTGTTGTTACTATATATTAGTGTCACTAAGTTATTACAGAACATCTGGAAACCATTTACAAAAACTGCAAGTGACAATGAGCCCGGGGAAATTATGACAGGTAAACAATGTTTGTCAAAGACAGTTGCCTACATACAGAGGCCATTAGTGAGATTCCTGAAGACTTTAACTGGTCTGATACCAGCTGCATATTTGATGGATGACAGCACAGCACATAAAGCAGCTGGGAGTTTGTGTGCACTCAGCACATGCATACTGTCAAACGCAGACTAAATGCATTCACTGGAGAGATCTGTGACAGATTTGCAGCACAAAGTTCCCTGTTAAAGTCTTTTGCATAAATGTTTAGTCACACAGCTCCATCAAAAACTGAAGACTTTTGATGATTGCGTTTTCTCTTAAACATTTTTATTTGAAATTAATTACATTTTGACATTACAATTTATTGTAATAATGGGGAAATCAACCTGGTTTTCAGGTTAAAAAAAGAAAAGAAAAGAAAAGATAAATGTATTTGGAAAATCTCAAAATGGGTTAGTTTTATGACAAAATAAATAACTGTCTTTTTCAGTGAAAACTTTTTTACAGTAATATTTTCACATGAATTTATGTTCCCTTCTGGCTGCTTTTATCCAGAGCATATTAATTCAGACAGATGTATTGTATAAAACATCTTCATTTCTCAAAATGGAACTTGAGTTAATAAACAATTCCTGTTTAGAGCGGTTTTTCAATATTGCATAGTAATGATTAATTAATTTGTTATTTTAAGCAACATTAATATAACACATAACAACTCCTGAGTACTGATTTCTTTTTAAATGTGGAGACAAAATGACTTGTATACCTATGTAAGTGTGACAAATATATAAATCTATAACACTGATGACCGTGTCGTATGAACGTTCCAGTACTTTATGTCATTCCATATTCACTGAGACTGCAGCACTAAGACTGCAACATGTAGCTTAATGCACTATGGTGTTAATAAACTCGAAGTTGAGAAACCTAATAATGTGAAAGGCAAACCTATACATATGTTAAAGATTTATATGAAAATAGATGAAATAAAAATGCACATACAGTTGCAATGAGACTTTTGGATGCTATGCCCAAATAGGAACTATAAACAAAAGTTACGCCTTAACATACATAGACTAAAGCACTGTGCAATTTTTTTTACATGACGAATAAACAGACATTGTGATTGACACTCTATTTTTGTGAATGATTTGACAGCAGCTGGGAGATCAGACATACTGTTTGTTTGATCTTCAGTCTAGAATAAGATGCACCGTAGCAAAGCATGAAATAAAAAAATAATGGTGCCTTTAAAAAACTGACAAAAGTCAACAGATATTACGCTGTGAATCCTTTGAGTTGAGAGGTGACAGATCGGTCTCTGAGCAGGAGTGAAGGTGAACGTCCAGACGCTCTCATGACGTGGACAGTGTGTGTGTGTGTCATCTGGAGTTGGACCAAAGATGGTCCAGATCTGTTGAAGACGTGGGTTCAGGGGTCGCCGTCAGGAGGTGGAGGCTGGCACAGTTTGTACAATCTGTTAACAGAATTAAAAAACTATTTTAAATAATAAAATATTTATTTATTACATATTTGTAAAATATTTACAAATATATATATTTGTAAATATATAAAATAAAAAATAAAATAATATATATATATATATATATATATATATATATATATATACAGTGAGGACAGAGAATAAAAAGACA